CCGACGATCGAGTCTCGGGCAAGTAACATACCGTCTGACAAAGGGAATACTATACGTGATTGCTTGAATCCTAGACATCGTGGTTCATCCGATGAGATCATCGAGGAGTATGTGGGAGCCAACATGGGTATCCAGATCCCGCTGTTGGTTATTGACCAGAGAGCCGTCTCGGTCATGTCTACATGTCTCCCGAACCCGTAGGGTCTACACACTTAAGGTTCAGTGACGCTAGGGTTGTATGAATATGAGTATGCAGCAAACCGAATGTTGTTCGGAGTCCCGGATGAGATCCCGGACGTCACGAGGAGTTCCGAAATGGTCCGGAGGTAAAGAAAACTATATAGGAAGTACTATTTCGGCCATCGGGAAAGTTTCGGGGTCACCCGGTATTGTACCGGGACCACCGGAAGGGTCCCGGGGGTCCACCGGGTGGGGCCACCTATCCCGGAGGGCCCCGTGGGCTGAAGTGGGAGGGGAACCAGCCCCTAGTGGGCTGGTGCGCCCCCCTGGGCCCCCCCTTGCGCCTAGGGTTGGAAACCCTAGGTGGGGGGGGGGGGGCGCCCCACTTGCCTTAGGGGTCACTCCACCCCTCCTGGCCGCCGCCCCCTTGGGAGATTGGATCTCCCAGGGCCGGCGCCCCCCCTGGGGGCCTATATAAAGGAGGTCAGGGGGGAGGCCAGCCGCACCCTTGTGTCTTGGCGCCTCCCTCCCCTGCTACACCTCGTCCTCCTCCTGCAGCAGCTTGGCGAAGCCCTGCCGGAGTTCTGCTGCATCCACCACCACGCCATCGTGCTGCTGGATCATCATCAACCTCTCCTTCCCCCTTGCTGGATCAAGACGGAGGAGACGTCACGCTGACCGTACGTGTGTTGAACGCGGAGGTGCCGTTCGTTCGGCGCTAGGATCTCCGGTGATAGGATCACGACGAGAACGACTACTTCAATCCCGTTCTCTTGAACGCTTTCGCACGCGATCTACAAAGTGGTATGTAGATGCAATCTCTCTCCCATGACTCGTTGCTTAGATGAACTCATAGATGGATCTTGGTGAAACCGTAGGAAAAATTTTAATTTTCTGCAACGTTCCCCAACAGTCGTGGCCATAGCCGGCCCGTCACCCGGACAACGGGCTGTACGAGTCCCCTTCCTCAGTCGCTCAGCGTCATGTGGGAAAGGGCTGAATAGAAAGGACGCTGGCAGAGGTGAGTATGGGCCGGGTTTGCCATGACATATATCATCTCTCTCTCATGCTTCATTGAAGATATGTTTGATCTGCGGTGTCTTGGGTGGGCGGGAAGAAGTGAGACAAAGCAAGAGGAATCCAAGACATGTTGTGGCGACCGGATGATGCAGGACTGGCAGAACCCTAGCTGGTGGAGGCTGCCATGGGATTCGTGCAGAGGGAGGTGGACAGGAGCAGGACGACGGGTGTTTCAGTTAGTGCTACAGAATCACTGCTGTTCTTTTATTGCTGCAGAGGTGCGCTGGCCTCCTGCTTCGCAGACACGTGACTTGTTGTATTCGTTAGTATCCTAAAAATGTAGAATTCAAACACTACATAAGTTTAGGCTACCCCAATATTACAGAATTTGAAAATTGTAGAATGTGCACTGTTGCGGTTCAAGCCAAGTTAATAAGAATTTCGGTTGTCTTACCGTTACAGGGAACGACAACTCTGAAGCATGGCGAAAAGCAATGCGAGGAGCCTTGGTATCTGGTGCAAGCTAGAGGAGCTGCCTAAATGCATGTGGAGAGGTTCCTATTAGTGAGTAGTGTAATATTCAGAACATTTAGCCATAAATTAAAATCTTCTCTTTGGAATGTGCTTGAGTCGTTGAGATCTGTTAATTTCTAGACATGATATTGGTAATTAGTGTGCAATTGAGCATAATCATTCCTTCTTGGTGGAAGGAAATCTAGACATGGCGACCATATCTATGTACGTCAACGGTTGCTTAGGTTTAACTTTTTTTACGAAGCATACCAGAAAGTCTTATGGTATATGAAACATGATTTTGGTTTATAGTTGAGTTGCTTGATGGAAGTCGTGGCAATCTAAATGATAAGAAGCAATTTTGCTATCTGATTATTGTCACGTAGCTTCAAAAGGTATGGTTCTGATGGTTAATTTTTATTTAATCCCTTTCGGGGTCCCTACTGAAAATTATCAGTGTACGTTTTTGCTTTTTTTGATAGCATGCTCCATTTAAATTTTAGCCCTGCAATCATCTAGAGCTGTTTGAGCGCAGTGGGCAAAGTTATTACCTTTACTATGCGGAGGTCCCAAATAATCTTCTTCCTCCCCCATTTGTTGAACTGCAAGTATCATTGTGCTGGCTAGAGGAATCATTTTATTGTTTGAGACACAATCTCTCTCTTAACATTTTTTTGTTGTTGATCATATTCATATGGTTCGTTATACGTTTCTTCTTGAGAACATACAGTTGAACATTATATTAATGTGTTTCTTTCTCGATCTCCACAGATTACGAAGTAATCATCTATAACAAAGAAATATCAGTCGATGGTTCTGGATTTCTGACTAGATATTTCAGCAGGCTGTCTAATATATTTTTGCCAAGCAGTATCCACAATTCGGCACATCCAAAATTAACTTCACCGACCAAGTCTGTTTTGGCGTTACACATTTAACGAATATGACCCCACTTGAACCTTGCAAGATGGAGTATGTGAAATAATGGATATATTCCTTAATTCAAAAGGTTGTCTTCGTATGATGCCACAAAAGTCTGGTCTGTAACTAAATTGTTGCTTTCACTTAAAACAGCAGGCTCTTAATTACTCTTAACAAAGTTTGAAATTAGTCCAGTCGTGACCCATGTGAAGCACTCATGCTATAGGTTTGCCTTGAACATAACTTCTTCGTTCAACATATGCTTTTTTCGAGCTTATTTGTTTTATCTGTATTCACTTGGTTTTGACACTTGTTTGCTGCATAGAGTAAAATTCCGGAACTTCCATATAGTGTAGAGATCTCTGTTTTCTATGCATGTTACTGACTTACAACTACTGATTAATTGTCCTTTCATCTTTGTTCTTCCAAGATAAAGACCCACCTCACCTACTATTGTACTCCTTTGCTATGAAGTCGTTGAAATTACTCAGTAGAAAACTATGTATGGCATCTCCCACCATGCCTCTACAGTAATTCTTTTGGCTCAATGTACTAGAATTTCTTTACTAGAAACTAATTTTTAATTTCCGATAAACAGGGTCGCATATGAATATTTATATTCCGTATTTATTTCTCTATATATTTATTGTACATTTTGTGCAATTTTCTATATATCATTATATCCGTTCTTCACTGCATTCTTCCTATATACCCCTAGACCATAGATTTCTAATAAATTGGGACTCCATGTCTTTACTTCGTTCTTCCAAGACTGTTTTCATTTCATTCTTTCTATATTTGGTATCCATGTTTTTATATAAAATTCTAACACTCATATAACATTCAAAATAGACGGGCGCGGCAACACACGCCAGCAATGATCTAGTATTGAGTTGTATTTGGGGCAATGCATTGTTAGTAAGGGCGAAATATTTCTTATGTACATATTATGCTAAATGATTGTGGAGGGCAACACTTATTTAGTATACCTGGTTTATTTACCATTTGATTTTTTTCCTTTTTAGAAAAGGAGGATCATCCCCGGCCTCTGCATCAGAGTGATGCATGCAGCCCCTTTATCAATCAAAGTATCCGAAAGGTCTGTGGTCCAGAACAAGCTCGCTCGGAGCTGAAAAAATAACCGAAAAGGTAAAATTGCCACAACCGGCGAAAATATGAGATGACTAAACACCAAGCCTATTACTGGACCGCCACAAGCTCGCTCAGAGCTGAAGCCCAGTTCTTGTAATTGATGTTGTACATATGTTGGTTTGCCAACTATAGTTCTAGACTTTCCGTTCGGAACATAAAATTTGGAATTACCAGTCGCTCGATAGAATTGAGCTATTGATTCGCATGCTAATGAGATGCTTTTATGCACTGATTTCAAATACACAAGGAAAGTTATCTGGGGTGAAAGAAATATTGTAATGTAAATGACTTACAATCTCCTCTACTCCCTAAAATGATGAAGGATCCATGGAAGAATTAGAATGTGATTTACTTGTTCTATGGCAAATCACAAAGTTTATAGCTGTATTGCATTGCCCAAATGGCTAAGCCAATATCTTTTATGGTAGATGAGAAGCATTTCATTTATTTGTTTAGTTTTAAAAAAGGTTCCCAACCGATGGTAAGGCGAGATGGAGAAGTTTTGAGGCGAAAACAATGCTAAAGCAAGGATGAATGAAGATAATGGAGGTGAATGGGGAGGAGGGGCGAGAAAAAATGTGCTCTTTTGCATTCTTGCAAGGTTGATGGTTGTTAAGTAGACACAACAATAACCACTCAAAACAATTATTTCATAAAACAAATGATTCTAACGCAATGCACGGGTATTCAACTAGTATAAGTGGCTTTCCCACATTGCAATGACCACGAGAGAATTATTTAGATAGCAACCTTGAGAGTCCCTTGGTCTGAATCAGCGACTTTCCGGACGCTGCTTCTACAAGCTCCCATGTGTATAAAAGTTTGCTCCGCCAAGATGAAGGCGGCACCAAGTTTTGCTCGCGGCACGTCGTCGACGGACGGATGCAGGAGGAAGAAGACTTCAACAAGCCCAAGGCTTTGATTGTAATATTACCCTTCTGTATATGTGTGTTTGTAAGATCATGCTTTTTATATGCCATTTAGGCTTCTCTGGGAGAAAAAAAGAGTTAAAGTCGAGGAATTACGGTGGGCCTTAAGCTCGTGCTTGTCTCCCGTCGACGTGCGCGCCACAGGTGTCCACTCCTCACTCACACGTCACACTCACAGCCCTGGTTCCTCCATAGCCACAGAGCCAAGACTCCAAACTCGTGGTTACCATCCCGGCACCTCGTCGGAAAACAGAGCAACCTGACCGCCCGAGCAAGGGGAAGAAGATGGCCACGTCCGCCTCCTTGCTCCACCTTTCCACGCTCGCCCCAGCCTTCTCGCCGCCCGCACCCCGGCGCGGGCTCCCCACGTCACAGCTCGACCTCCGCCCCAGCCGCCGTCACCACGGCGTCTCGGTCTCACTCGCCGCCTCGTCATCCGCCGCGTCTCCGGAGGTGGAGAAGGAGCCCTCCTCGCCGTCCACCCCGCCGCCGGATGAATCCTCAGCCCTATCGGTGAGCAGCGAGCATCGGCACGCCCCCAATTTTTGCTGGCACTTTCTTTACCCGTGCTCTGACAAGAATAAAATGGCTTTCTTGGCTCTGGTTTAGCGCAGGCCGTGGCGGAGAGCGTGAAGGTGCTCAAGGAGGCGGCCAAGACGAGGAAGGTGCCGGCCGACAAGGTGCTGGCGGCGCTGGCCAGGATCAAGAAGGCCAAGCTCGACGCCTCCGCCTTCTTCGAGACCCTCGGCGGGACCGAGTCCCCCGGCAGGACATGGAAGCTCATCTTCACCGCTCAGGGTAGTAAGCTTGAGAAAGGCAGCTACTTCCCGGTGACCGCCGTCCAGCGATTCGACGCCGCGGTGAGTGAGCTCCTTCCTCGTGCTTCCGTCGCATTTCAGTTACAGCCATGGCGTCAGATTCTGGACGAACAGTTTATCTCTGCAACTGAAACTCTGAAGAAAACCATTTTTGGTTGTCACCACTCCCCAGGGGCAGAGGATCGAGAACGGGGTGTACCTGGGGCGGGCGGGGAGCCTGAGCTTCGAGGGGCGGCTGTCGTGGAAGAAGAAGATCCTGGCCTTCGTCTTCGAGCGGGTGCGCGTCAAGCTCGGGCCGCTGCCCTCCATGGAGATCCCACTCGGCGGCGGCGGCGACGTGGGCAGGGAGCCGAGCACCAAGGACCCCTTCTTCCTGTGGTTCTACGTGGACGAGGAGGTCGCCGTGGCGCAGGGCAAGGGCGGCGGGACCGCCTTCTGGTGCCGATGCAAGCGCGTCGACGGGCAAGGCCGGCGCCCCGCCTTCTGGTACTTCGGTTTCAACATAATTTAGATAGGTCAGCATGGCGTCCATGTCTCCGTCTAGTCTGTCTGTAGCTAAATGTTTTGGTGTTCATCGCCTTACCGTATATATACGATCATGTATGTACACGAATGGGATGTGACCACACTACTTGCATAGCTTTTCGTTCTGCTTTTGTATATACGGATAACCAAACCACGCTTTGCCGCGCTTAACTCTTTTTTCTCCACGGTTATTACGCTTAGAGGCGTGGCCGTATGCATCGCCCAGATGCAGAGGCCGGGGGTCATCCTCCTTTTAAAAAAAAATTTACGCTTAGAGGTGAACACTTTTACAAAGAAACTCAAGAAATGAACTGAGCTGAATTGATTGATATTCCTGATTTATTTGGGTTATGTTGCTTCGTGTTTGGTTACCCATACAACCCAATTTACTCGGATCCAGCTTGCCTGCTCCCATCCGTGCTCGGACGCAGCTTCAATGACTTTGTGGAGTGAAGTCACGCAGCGCCTTAGCCCCCAACATCGACCACTCATTTTACATCCAACGCTCAGGATTCACGCAAGGCAAAAAAACACTCAGACTTGATAGTTTTCAGCTTGCAAGGATGCACTAGACACTCCAACCTGAATATTTTCACACGAGAAACATTTGATCACCGGATATAATATGAAACTAAAAAACTAATCTCATTAGACAACGGAAAAAATGAAGGACATAAAACTGAAACTTGCAAGCATTTAACATTCAGTGCACAGTCCGTAGCGTATCGCTGAAATTTTTTAAAGCATAAAACACTGAAAGTCTCAAGGGGAGAAAAAGAAAATGAACAACGTAAGAATGAAATTTACAAACATTGAACATTTAGTGTACAATTTTTTTTCTGCAGCATACCTTTGAAATTTTGGAAGCATCAAACGAGCTAGGGGATGCTCCCAATAAATCCTGAGCGTCCGATGTGGAATGAGTGGTGGGTGTTGGGGGCTAAGGCGCAGCGTAACTTCACTTCACAAAGTCACTGAAGCTGCGTCCTCCGTGCTCCCACTTAATCCTACGACTGTCCTTTTTTTCTTTTTCCTTTCTAATCTAATCATCTCCCCCCCCTGATTTTAATGGGGTGGGCCCGAGCCTTATTTTGTTCCAATCAAATCAAGCCACGTACCCGGGAGCACGGATGGATACACGCGTGGGGCTTAGGCAAGTCTCGTCCAATTTACTCATGCCTCTACCTCTCAAGATCATTCTCGTTGAACTGGTGTTTGTCCCCAAGAGGACTCCAATCTCTCAACCTAATTGTCTCCCAACCTTGAGGTTAGATCTACTTCTACAGAGCCCAGCTACAACGGCTCTCCAACCGGGGCTCATCTCGTCTTGGATCTCTAACACATGGTGTTCTAGCTCTCCCCCAACGCTAGCACGACATTGGTGTCGGTGGTCTTCCACCGCGAACCCGCTGCCTGAAGAGACGAACGGGGAACAAGGAGAAAGCAATGACCCGACCGCTCGACACAGTGCCACCCCCTCACGAAGGCACAATGCCGATAATCATTTTGCGCCCTCTCATGACAACAAAATAACCCACACGTCTGGGAGATTCTATTCAGCGTGAAACTGTCAACTGATGACCAAACCACGCACGCCCCAAGGCGCTCGATTCGATTGGCTGGCGAGTTGACCTATTGGGCTTCAACCCATCCAAGGAAGTGAAGAAAAAACAGAGGAAAGAGAACTTAAACAGAGTGGATAGAAAATTTAAAATGTTTCATTTTACACTATAAAAAATAAAAATGTTTATGTATTTGAAAAACACCCACAAATTTAAAAATGTTCTTGAATTCGAAAAAGGCTTCCCAAATTCAAAATGTGATCAAAAAGAAGTTTCCTGAATTTAAAAAATGTGATCTAATGTTTATGAATTAAAAAGTTGTTTATGGATTTAAATTTTTTTATCGATCAGCAGCGGCCCCACGTTCACGTGTGAGTAGGCTCAATCACGGCGCACAATCAGTTCACCCTATGACATGTCAGGCCACAAATCTAAAAGATCAGTGCTACCTGGACGATACTTTATGGCCGATTTCCGCATGACACGTTCATATTATATACCTGGATGCACCAGTAGGCTCCATTCGTAGGGAGCTTAGTAAGTTAAGAGGTTAAGATCATTCAAGCCACGGCTCTGCATAAGCGTTGAAGACATCCTTCACAATTATACTTACCGCATGGGACATGCGGTTAGCAAACTGAAAATTTACATCCTTCACAGTTATACTCGTTTCATTCCAAAAAAATTGAACTTCCAAGTTTATAAGTCAATAAAAAATTAGGACCACTTTTGGGAGGGACTAGTTTGAAAGTGCCACGTGGTGCGCTCCAGCTCCGCCACATGTAACACGTTGGTTTTTTGTTTAGTTTTATCCCGGATTTTTTCAGGCTATTGGTTTTTTTTTCTCTGTTCTTTTTCTATTTCACTGGTTCTTTTGGTTTCCGTGTGAAGCTTAAGGCTTCACCCCCATGGGTAGCACAGTTTAGTTCATGCTAGAAGCGCAAGTTACTGCAGCTGGAAGCAAATGTTTGGCCAAAAAAAGGTTTGAAAAAAAATCTAGGAATTTAGTCTTGGAGATCTCGACGTGGAAAACATAAGGGATAAGTATGTTTTTTGTCCTTGAACTTTCATGATAGTTTAGAAATCGTCCCTCAACTTCAAAACCACTAAAACTAAATCCTTAAACTATTTAAACCGGATAAGTTTCGTCCCTTCAGGTGGTTTCAGTATGATGTGAAACCGGTTTTGATTAAACTGGCCACGTGGCCTGGTTTTTACCCCAACTCGATCCACTTCCAGCGTGGCGGCGCTCGTCTCTGTCGTCACCACTACCAACCTGCTCAACGCCGCCCCGAGATCGCCAAGCAGGTCGCCTCCTCCCATGCACGCACGTTCTTTTGTGCGCTCAACTGCACATGATCGGCAACGCTAGCTAGTAGGGGTAATTAACTGATCTTTAGCTAAGGTTGTTGTACAGCACGGCACAGATGTAAACCTATGCGATCTATCGATTCCTTTAGCTGTTGTCCTACAATATCCATGGTCCAGATGGTAACGAACGGCCTCCGCCTTGAGGACTCCGACACCATGGAGACTTTCCTCTGCACGGTGTCGATGGAGATCCTGCAGAGGGTACGGGCTGATCGAGAGCACGGCCATCGGCGTGTCTACAGACTCGGCCGAGGAGAGCCGACGATGCGGGACTGCCGGCCTCCTGCCAACCAACAGTCCAACACCGAGGCCAACTCGCCAAGATCATCGACCCTGAGACCTGCCCTGTGCTTCCATATGAATCGCACCGGCCGCGCGAGCTCTGGATCAGGGGACGCTACGTCATAAAACCAGGCCACATGGCCACTTTTAATCAAAACCAGATCCACATCATACTAAAACCACCTAAGGCCTTGTTCGGTTAATCCCCACCACAAGGGGATTGGAGAGGATTGGAGGGGTTTGATGTGGATTTTGACTTGCTGGGGATTTAATCCCTGCCAATCTGCTGCAAACCCCTTGAAACCCTGTGGAACCGAACAAGGCCTAAGGGACGAAACATATCTGGTTTAAATAGTTGAGGGACTGAGTTTTAGTGGTTTTGAAGTTGAGGGGCGATTTCTAAACTATCACGGAAGTTCAAGGACGAAAAATATACTTATCCCAAAACATAATGGTGAAAACGCTTTGTGATTTACACAAAGAGATAAATCATTTTGAGGGGTTCGGCCCGTTGACTTGCACAGTATTTCGCAAGGCAATCTCGCTGTCGCTGCTAAGGCACGTGGACATAAACAGTCTTTCATGACGAGGTGTTCAGATTCAGTTTAGCGGTTGAACAGCTAAAATGTTTCGACGTTCTTCAGCTTAATTACCGCACACAATTATTATGCGCGTACACGGATGACGAGAATGCCCCAACGATGTGATGATACTACGTGTTTGTGTGTAAAATGTATCTCTAGCTTTTCCAGTGGAGAGATGGATGCCAGAAGATAGCCATAGTCTCACATGTCAGTGTGGCACTAGCTACACTTACGATGCTTTTTCTTTGGACTTGAGACTTGAAACACATGGCCGGAGGTGAATGGAGGCATGATGCTTCCTGGAAATTTCACTGCTTTTTCTTTCTTCTTACCACCAATCTTCAAAGCTTTCACCATCAGTCGGTAATGGTTTATTCCAAATTCTCTGCTGGAAATTGGAATATCACACACACAGCTGGCACCCTTTTTTTTTTTTACTTGGACCCTGCAACCGAATTGACCTGGCGAGTTTTTACAGTGCAGGCAGCGCAACAGCGCCACCGTAGATCGGTCAGTCAGTACCACGCGCGCCGCCGGCGACGACCAATTTCTCCGCGCGCGGGGATGGCGGCCGCGGCGGGCCCCACGAGGCTGGCCTACTTCGATGACATGTGGGCCCTCCGCGCCCCCGCCACCGTCCTCTCCATCCATCATCAGGTCCTCTCTTCTCCTCCCTCTCCTCTCCTCGGAGGCACGCCGCGCTGTGAGTTTGAGACCCTGGGCACTGACTAGGCTCCGGGCGCCCGCAGGAGGAGGGCGGCCGGCGAGCGGTGGTGCTGGACGCCACCGTCTTCCACCCGCAGGGCGGCGGGCAGCCGGCCGACACGGGCGCCATCGTCTCCGCGTCCGGCGCCGGCGCCAGGTTCCTCGTCGAGGACGTGCGCGTCAAGGACGGGGTGGTGAGCGCCGAGATCTACACGAGGCTGTGATCATAAGATTTATAAGAGGCTTTACCTGCGCTCTGCTGCTGCCTAGGTCTTCCACTATGGCAGATTTGAGGACGCTGCCGGAGAGGAGGAGCTCAGCCAAGGGCAGAGCGTCAGCTTGGAAGTCGACGCGGAACGGCGCAAGCTCAACTCCAGGTATGGATCATTCAGCATGTCCAGTGGTAGCAAACCCGGCATGGAGGAATGTCACAAATCGAATTCAGCGCCATTTCGTTATGTGCTCTGCTTATTTTGTGACTGTCAGTTGTGCTAAACCTGCGACGCTTCAGGCTTCACTCCGCGGGGCATTTGCTGGACAGTTGCATGACCAACCTTGGCCTTCATCTGGAACCTGGGAAGGGATATCATTTTCCTGATGGGTATGAGTGTACATACATACATGGCATGGCTACTTTGTTTTTTCATTCCTCCTTCTGTTGTTCTCTGTGCCGCTAATTGATTGACTCTCTATCCAGCTTTTATGTAGGTTTTTCTTTATTTACTTGGTATAGATAGAGGCTCCAGCTCATGTTAGTTTCCACTGTTTTGGTTGGACTTGGATTCTTGATAACACCGTGGCTTTTGTTCATCGCAGGCCTTCCGTTGAGTATAAGGGAGTTGTTCCAGCAGATCAGTTGCACGATAAGAAAATCCAGCTGGAAAAGGAGGCGAACGAACTGATTTTGAAAGGAAGCAAGGTATAACCCAAGAGGCCTGAACACACAGGGTTTCATGACTTGGTATGTTTAGTTATTCACCATCAATGCAGGTTTTGGTCTCTGTTTTTCCATACGAGGAGGCGGCTAAGTTATGTGGAGGTGCTCTGCCTAGCTACATTTCGCAAGTTAGTTCTGTATTCCCTCTAGACGAATTCGTCTTCCTTGTATTAAATGCACCCTCAACGAACATCATGGATAGTTCTTGTATATTTGGATGACTTCTCATATATAATATTCCATTTTAATTCCCCTTCAAAAATTACAGACATACTCCCTCGGTTCCAACCTACTTGTTGTTTTGGACATCAGCATGGTCTCTACTGGAACATACTTCCTCTGCTCCTAAATATAAGACGTTTTTGCAGTTTAATTTGGACTGCAAAAATGTCTTATATTTTGGAACAGAGGCAGTATTTATGAAATCTCACAGAAGTATATGTTGTGAAAGTACCCTTAACAAATTCGCACCTATGATTTTCAATTGTCCAGTTCAAATATTTTAAAAGATGTTGGTTGTGGAAGTTCTAACTGTTTTACTTTCCTTATTATGTGCAAACCAGCAGAGGGGGTATATATTGTATCTCTGGATTGATCTGTTTGATACTAGGGGAAAAAAATCAATGCGAAAGCATGTGTGACTGCATATAACATATGCAGGGTGTTATAATTTTGTTGTGAGCTCATCTTGAATTATGAAACAGATCAAGAATCAAGAAAATAGCTCCTTTCCGGAATAATTCAAATGTGTAATATTTGTTCCGAGTTTTATGCTGTTTTTAAAACATGGATCCTACTTTATTGACATAGTTGATTAGTAAATGCCACCTTGCAGTTTTGTGTTTCTCTAATTCCAACTCTTCCATGAGTGAAATGACTGTATGATGTTTCTATCACAGGATAGCAGTCCCCGCATTGTGAAATTTGGTAACTATCCTGGTTGTCCTTGTGGAGGCACTCATGTAGCCGATATTGCAGACATTGGCAACGTAAAGGTAGATTCTCAGGCCTGTCCAAATTTCCAGAAAATTTAACCGCAAGTCATGAAAAACTACCCAGCATGAAGACTCTGTGAAATTGAAAATGATTTTATAATAAAACTTAACACATAGCCTTCCTGCTGATCGCTGGGATTACACATATGATAGTTTTGAGCAATATTCATGAAAATTGGACATTTGGAAAAGTTTAGTCATCGCATTGTTGCTCTGCTACCTGCTAGTATATGTACTATTGACCTTTATCTCTGTTGAGCTGCCGTCCACATTGTTTTGTGCAACATGATTCTACTCGTGTTTCCAACAAGTTGTTTGTAACATGTCGATAGGCCGTGTTGGCTTTCTTGGGAGATTTCAAGCCAGAATGACAGTGTGCACCACATGAGCAAACTATGAAGTCACTCTGATACTTTTGTTAAAAATCCAGGTCATAGACACATACAAGGAGCATTGGCCGAAATGAATAGTAAATTATTACTCCCTCCGTTCCGATTTACTCGTCGTGGTTTTAGTTCAATTTGAACTAAAACCACGACGAGTAAATCTGAACGGAGGTAGTAGTACGGCACAGCAGCTCAGATACATATATACTTTACTAAAGCAACAGAAGGATCCTAGGCATGTTTTGATACTTTCCTTCCAGTAGATGGTTGCCAGATTATTCCCTTTTAATAACTTGGAGGCTGATCTCATCTGCTATTCTCTCAGGTCACAAATATACGGGTCAAGAAAGGCGTGACTAAGGTCTCCTATGGCATCAGCCCGTAATATTTTTCTGCGCAACTCTCAAAACTAGTAGAATTTGTCAGAGAAGTGGGAGGACAATATACTAGAGAATCAGAAGGCTGGCATCATCGTTTTTCATAAATTTGGTTATGTATGACGACACTAAATGTGTAGAGGATAACATAGATGATTACATATACTATTTGAAAAGGTACTAGTAGATCTATAAATATATGGTGATGTATTCTATCTCCTCTTGTGCCGCGGTAGATCATCGGAAAGGCTGATTTGCAGCAGATGTTCACCTGCTCAGGCTATCCTGCCCTCTCCTTATCCGTTGAGATATATATGTCACAAATCTTGATATCTTTTGAATGTGTGAAATACTGTGTTGCCGTTAGGTATTTGCTTTACTGGACTGTTAAGAATTGTGTTAGCTATCCTACAGTTTGTCACAGCTCCTGAGTCTTGAATGTCAATCCATCTAGGTTGTGGGAATAGTTTTTGGTTCCAGCTAAGCATTTATCCTTGAGGGTAGTTTGGGGATTAAAATGAGTCTAACAATGGTAAATAGGCCCTGTTTCACCTATTTGCAATGGTGCCACAGCAATTTCATTGAGAAATAAAAGTATCGCTTCGATGAACCTAACCAATTACGCAGAAGAATAAACCCATGAATGAATGAACTGTTATTATTTTTGCACAGATTTACAATGAAGTGATTTCTGAAGCTACACTTACAGAGCATTTACAAATGAATGAAATGTGTGTTGCGTTTTTACAACAACATGAAGATAATTTACAACAAGTACCTAATTAAGCCTTGGTTAAATATGGACAGGGCTACCTAGCTAGCTAGCTAGCATGGTTATTTGTACATTTCCATATCCATGTACAAAAGAATGAATGCAATCAGTATGTACAAATTTGTATGGAAGCAATTAGTCGACCCATTCCATGGATCATCTGACGATGGCCCTCGAGTGCCGGAGGACCATGCTGAACGGCGTCGTCGTCATGGGCCGGCGCACTCTCCGGCCACCGGTAGAGGTCGCCGTCGCCGCCCCCTTCGCCGCCGTCACCACCTTCCCCGTGCTGTCCCTCTTGCACGACGACCTGCCGTTCACCTTCAGAACCGCGGGGGCAGGAGGAGGACGAGGAGGAGTCGCGGGCGCCGTCGTGGTGGAAGACGTCGCGGCCCTGCGCCTGGTGACGGCGCCGTCGTCGGCGCCGGGGAGCACGCCGACGGGGAGGCTGGACTCGAGCATGAGCACGGCGGCGCAGTGCTTGAGTACCTCAAGGTTCATGCGCACGTCGTCGAGGCTGCGGTGCGTCTGCTTCCCGATCCCGAAATACGCCGCCAGGGTGGCCATCTTGAGGTCCCCGGCGCGGCGGCCGAACCCCTGTGCGAGCACGCTGAGCGAGTCGACGACGGCGACGGGCTCCGGCGCGGCGCGGCCGGCCGCCGCGAAGGCCTCGCGGACGCGGTGGCAGTCGAAGCGGCGGATGTTGTGGCCCGCCCAGACGCGGCCGTGGAGGAGCGCGAAGATGTCGTCGGCCACGTCGGCGAAGGGCGGCGCGGCGCGGAACGCGGCGGAGAGGGCGGGGTCGCCCGAGAAGCGCCTGGAGACGGCGGAGGGGTCCCCCGGGCGGATGAGGGTGGAGTAGCTGGACAGCTCGACGAGGCGGCGCGGGCAGACGAGGATGGCGCCGAACTCCAGCAGCCACCACTGGGCGGACGCGTCGGAGGGGGACGGCGCCGCCGCCGTCTCCACGTCGAAGAACACCATCTCCTCCTTGGCGGTCTCCGTCGCCATTGATAATTACTAGCTACGTTACGTAGGGTGGTTTCTTCTTCTTGGGGTAGCTATGCTCGTGGTTGGTTTCTTGGCGAAGGAAGGAATTGAAGGAACGATCTCTTGCGTCGATCGTGAGCTTCCTTATAATTTGTGAGGGGTTGTGACAGTGATTCGTATATATAGGATTTGGCAAATGATCCATGGACGAGGGGGCCGCGCCGGAGGAGAATATTTGTTGCCGCCAATGGTGGGGACGGAGGGTTGCTTGGTTTGGACGGCGGCGTAGGGTTTCGTTGGGATGGAGAAGACCAGCTGGGAGGAGCAAAGCAAGCAAAGAGGCGGGTCTTCCAATGGCGCAAGCAAAGCGACCCGAGCTCCTCTCTCCTTCTGAGGAGGTGATCACAACTGTAGCAAGTATGCAGGGGAGATTCGGGATGCGTGCATGGCGGCGGCAGATAGCTTGCACGTATGGATGGGATGGGATGGGAGATTCCAAGTTTCACAAGCATGCAACAACTAGGAATGAGCAAGTCTCTTTTTCTTGTTCATCAAGCTTTTGTTGGAGCTAGCTAGGAACACCTACGGCACCAACCATCTGCCGATTACGTACGTCCGTCTTCGATCGACCGGGTTCTCCACCGCCAGCCCTCTCCCTCGCCGTCGCCGGAGGAGGCCGCCGCCGGCCGATCGAAACCCATGAGTATGTGCCTCCGCCTGAAAAGTTGCTGTCGTCGGTACAATGAAGCAACAACGACTAGGCTTTGACCATTTCAAACAACACGTGCGTGTAGCCCTGCGTACTTTAATTTAGTTTGCGGGCGCGTGCGGATTCGTCGTACCGCAGCCCCGGAGCCGGAGCCAACATGAAGAAGATTACCGCACACAAACTAGCACCTGCTTAATTAATTACCATAATGCATCGATCCGGTTACTAATATGAATACTTAATGTGGATTATAGATGCCATGACGGCACTTTAGCTTGCTCCACTACTAGGAAAAAGCCTACTAATGGCGCACTGGTTTTGCCTACTAATGGCGCATTACCAGTATTTTTTACTAATGGCGCATCACTGGTATACTAATGCGCACCAGGCAGTGCGCCATTAGTTTTGTCCACAGTGTGCCACTAGTGTCTTCTATACTAATGGCGCATCATATTGTAGTGCGCCATTAGTAACAATTTTTTTAAATTTTTTTTCTTAATCTTAGGTCACTATTTCACCTATGAGATATCCAACACATATATATATATATACAACAAGCATCCATATAACAATCATAGCCAACACACAAGTTCCATCATATATACATACATAGCCAACACATAGTTCCATCGTTACATATTACAAAAGTTTCACATTGTTCATCCAACACCGTTATCCATCAATTCACAAAAGTTTCACATTGATACAAAATAAAAATACAAATGGAAAAGAAGCACTCCATCTACGCAAGCTTCCGTCAATTAAATCAAATCTGCAAAATGATAAACAAGAAGTTAGAAGAAGAAAAAAAAAGACTAGAAGAACACTAGAAGAAGAATAAGAAGAATTTTGGAAAAGAAGAAGAATAAGAAGAAGACTATAAGTTTATTATGTAAACTTGATCATTTTGTGCTAACATAAGTTATTTTGGAGCTAACCTATAGGAAACTAAGCATATAAGCTCTAAATTAGTATATTAGAGCCAACTTAGGTAAAATGAAGCTAACCTATGTCATTTTGGAAAAGAAGAAGAATAAGAAAAAGACTATAAGCTTATTATGTAAACTTGATCATTTTGTGCTAACCTATGTCATTTTGGAAAAGAAAAAGAATAAGAAAAAGACTATAAGCTTATTATGTAAACTTGATCATTTTGTGCTAACATAAGTTATTTTGGAGCTAACCTATAGGAAACTAAGCATATAAGCTCTAAGTTAGTATATTAGAGCCAACTTAGGTAAAATGAAGCTAACCTATGTCATTTTGGAAAAGAAGAAGAATAAGAAAAAGACTATAAGCTTATTATGTAAACTTGATCATTTTGTGCTAACATAAGTTATTTTGGAGCTAACCTATAGGAAACTAAGCATATAAGCTCTAAGTTAGCATATTAGAGCCAACTTAGGTAAAAATGAAGCTAACCTATGTCATTTTGGAAAAGAAGAAGAATAAGAAAAAGACTATAAGCTTATTACGTAAACTTGATCATTTTGTGCTAACATAAGTTATTTTGAAGCTAACCTATAGGAAACTAAGCATATAAGCTCTAAGTTAGCATATTAGAGCCAACTTAGGTAAAAATGAAGCTAACCTATAGGAAACTAAGCATATTAGAGATAACATAGGTAACTAAGTATATATATATCATTTTGGATAACTAACCTATAGGAGATCTGACATACCTGACAAAGTTCAGTTCTCATGCATTGTTCTTCTCCTTCTCCTTCTCCTTCCTCTCCCTGATGCGCCAAGAGCGGCGAGGCGGTGGAGGCAGTGGAGGCAGTGGGATGTAGTTTTCTACCACAATTGGCGTGGTCATGTCGCCCAGCTGTGGGATCGCCGGCGCCACCACCGGTGCGTGGTCATTGTCAGGAACCACCACCATCGCGAGGCCACCTTCAGGCACGACCATCGCTAGGTCATCCTCAGCCACCTCCATCTCTTGCCCATGGTCAGCCACCACCATCTCTTGCCCTTGGTCAGCCACCACCAGCGCTAGGTCATCCTCAGCCTGATGCCCATCGTCATCCTGCAGCTCCTCATCCTCACTTTGCTCCTCTTCTCCCGCACTCCAGTCCGGATCATCCTTCTTGTTGTCTATGCTGCTGCCAGAATCGCTGCTGCTTTCGCTACAGCCATAGTCGCTGCTGCTTTGGCTGTAGCCAGTGTCGCTGCTGCTGCTCCCATTACCTGTCCAAAATGCAACAATGACCGTTAACAATCGATGTGAGACAAAGCCAAATGTAGAGGAATAAGAAGAGGCAAAACGTACCGGCATCATCATCGGCAGCGTAGCGCATGCGACACATAGTCGTGTTGAACACCTTCACGATGAGCATGGTGGCGTCGTCGTCGTACCTGAAGAGAAGGAAGAACCCCAGCCGCAGGTCGTAGGCACGGTAGAACTTCTCCCACCCACGAGACAAGTACATGTGGCCCTTCTTGATCACCAACTCCACATCCCACTGCCTGCGAAACCCGCTGCCGGCCTGTCGCAGCTTCACATTATTTGGCGGATTTTCACCCATCAGCATGTT